GGAGCTGCTGGGATGGACGGGGGGGGGGAGGTGGGGATGGGGGGTGTCCCAGGTCACCAGTGGGTGGCAGGACACTGGGGTGTGACACCCACACTGGTGTGTCCCCAGCCACCAGCATGTCCCAGCCCACCAGTACATGTCCCAAGCCCACCAGTAAGTGTTCCAAGCCCACCAGTACCTGTCCCAGGCCACCAGTACATGTCCCAAGCCCACCGGTAAGTGTCCCAAGCCCACCAGTACGTGTTCCAAGCCCACCAGTATGTGCCCCAAGCCCACCAGTACGTGTCCGAGGCCACCAGTATGTATCCCAAGCCCACCAGTACGTGTCCGAGGCCACCAGTACGTGTCCCAGGCCCACCAGTAAGTGTCCCAAGCCCACCAGTACGTGTCCCAGGCCACCAGTACGTGTCTCAAGCCCACCAGTATGTGTCCCAGCCCATCAGCATGTGCCAGGACACTGACACACCCCAGGCCACCAGTTTGTGTCCCAGGCCACCAGTGTGTCCCCAGTCACTGGTGTGTCCCCAGTCCCTGGTGTGTCCCCAGTCCCTGGCGTGTGCCAAGGCACTGGTGTGTCCCCAGTCCCTGGTGTGTCCCAAGGCACTGGTGTGTCCCCAGTCACTGGTGTGTCCCCAGTCCCTGGTGTGTCCCCAGTCCCTGGTGTGTCCCCAGTCCCTGGTGTGTCCCCAGTCCCTGGTGTGTCCCCAGTCCCTGGTGTGTCCCCAGTCCCTGGTGTGTCCCCAGTCCCTGGTGTGTCCCCAGTCCCTGGTGTGTCCCCAGTCCCTGGTGTGTCCCCAGTCCCTGGTGTGTCCCCAGTCCCTGGTGTGTCCCCAGTCCCTGGTGTGTCCCAAGGCACTGGTGTGTCCCAGGCCACCAAGGAGGTGGGAGTGACAACCCAGCTTGGCCCCCCTTCAGCCCCAGCAGGAACTCCCCAGTTCCACCAGTGTCCCCAGCCACGGTGCCACCACCTGAGGCCTCTGTCCCAGTGCAGGGAGGGGCTCAGGCCCCCCCAGGCCTTGGACTGGGGCTGTGCCCCCGATAAGGCCCCATCACCCTGATAAGGAGCCACACGGGGTGACACGGCAGGTGCCACCCGTCTGGGCACCCAGGGAGTGCCACCCAGGGCAGGGCTGGCACCCGAGGGGGACACCCACCAGGGGGACACCCACCAGGGGGACACCCCACCCCAGGGGGACAGCAGCAGGGGGGCCCCCGAGGGGACCCCAGCCCCAAGAGGTGGCAGTGCCACCCCCTGCCAGCGTCCTTGTCCCCGTTTATGGCCTGGCACAGCCTTGGCCTTGATAAGGGGGGGGGGGATAAGGGCCCAGGGCACCTTTGCCCCACGACACCCAACTTCCCTGTCACGTAGACACCAGTGGAGACACCAGTGGGAACACCACGGGGACACCAGTGGGGACACTGGCAGGGGACACTGCTGAGAAGCTCCCGGGGAAGCGACGACATGACACCACGCTTCACCTGCACCTTTACTGGGCAAGGCCACACCATGGGGACACCCCAGGGGCCCTTGGGAACAAAGGGCAGGGCCCAGGGGAGGGTCCCTGAGAGTTGGGGTGTCCCCAAGGTGGGGGGTCCCCAAGGCGGGGGGGTCAGGAGGCTGGAGCCGCCGGGCGCTTGGTGCGACGTCGGGTGTACTTGAAGTTCTGCAGAGGGTTGGCAGTGCCACGGGCCTGGAAATGGGGGGGGGAGGGGGAAGAAAAGGGGTGTCACACCCCCCAAGAAAGAGGGGGACACAAGGGGTGACAAGAGGGGATCCCAAAGTGTCCCCAAACTCACCTTGGTGCCCCCCCGGCGTTTGGCCCCGGGTTGGGGCCGCAGCCCCTTGCGCTTCTTGGGGTTGAGTTTGACGACGCCCCGGAGGCTGGGGGGGACTGGGGGGCAGAAAGTGGGGGGAAGGGGAGGTTAGAGGGGGCTTGGGGGGACACTTTGGGGACAAGTGTCCCATCCCAGAGTGTGTCCCCCCCCTCCGACACACCCAGGTAGT